TGGCTGAGGAATTGCCCCATCCCCCACGTGCACACGGCCGCGGACACATCCGCCCAGCATCACTCGCGTGTTCACTGCGGGCTCTGTTTTCTCCTCTCACTCTGGCAGACCAGGGTTCCCACCTGCCCAGCGTTGTGAGTTTCCCCACAGAACATTCCAAGAGGGAGTGAACTCCCTTCTTTGTCCCCCCAAGAGAGACAGTCGCTCCAGCCACGGTGTTCCACCACCTCCGCGTCCTCCACCTTTGCTTCCCAGCCAGCCCAGCGCTCCCCTCTTCCCAGCAGCCCCAGGGGTGCTGTGTTTTCTCTTTTCCTCTGGTTCCTGCTCAGCTAATAATAACCCTCATTCTCTTCCACCAGGAAGTTGCTCCAAAGTGGTTCCATCCTCCCCTGGCAACTCTTCCCAAATGCCGTGTGACCCTGGAGACAGCATTTACTCGGTCTCTGGACCTCACGGCCTCCCCTGGCCCCTACCCCCACCCCAGAGTCTCTAATCTCTTCCTCCTGTAAGAGGAAGGGCAGAGACTGCCCCACTGTCACCTCAAACCCTGTCACGGCAGATGGTGAACATGCACATGGAGAAGGTGGCCCGAAGGGAGATTGGCACCTTGGCCACTGTCCAGAGGCTGTCCCCTGGCCAGAAAGTCATCGCCCCCGACAGCCTCCCTCCCCTCACGCCCTACTACAGGAGACCGCTTAACTTTGGCTGCCTGGATGACATTGGCCATGGGATCAAGGTAGAGAGAGGGCCCCTCGTCTTTCCCACAACCCACCCTCTCCTCATCATGGTTCACTTCTCCTCGGGCCCCCAGTTCTCTTCCACATCCACATCCCTCCGTGTCCCAACCTGCCGCCCCCGTCTTTCCTCACTCCCTGAAGCCATCACCCTAATTCTCCAAGCCTCCCTCCTTAAAAGTCCTTCCTGACTGCTCCCTCCACAGCTGGCCTTTACCCTGTCCTCAGATGATCTGCTGAGGGTGCATCTGAGCACCCCCTTTTGTGGGGGCTGGGTGTGTGCGAAGGGGAAGAGGGGAAGGGAGGTGTCAGGTCGTGCCTGAGAATGGTTCCCCAGCCACATGAGAACAGCAACTTCCTCTGTCTGGAGGTTTGAGGTCACCGCACGGAGCACTCACCCCAGAGCCGCTTGCTGGTGGGTGGGAACCGGTGGGGATGTGGCCACTCAAAAGGGGCCTGGTGAAGACCGGGGAGCCTGACACTGCCATTTCCTTCTCGGCTTGTCTCAGGAGAGGTGGGAGAGGACACGTCCCCAACCCCATTTCCTCAGTTCCCGCAGGCCAACATTCCAGGTTAGACTAAAGCTCCCCTGGGTCTCAACGACCCCTGGAAACCCTTCCCATCCCATAACATGCAGACCACACTCCCTCCTTCAGGCACCAGGCCTCCCCACCGGTAAGTTCTTCTCATTGCCCAGCTTCTATTCTTTATGACTCAGCTCGGGACCCTCTTGTCTTGTGCCTAGTGGACAATAGCAGAGGACAGCATTCCCCAGGTCCCCCATGCTTGGGGACACCCCACCAGTAACGCAGGTGCTCCCTTGCCTGTGGGCTTGGCCTAGCCATTTGTGCATTTTAAATGCTCTGCCCCTCTCTGACCTGAGCTTCCTAAATCCGGTTCTGCAGGCCCGTCCAAACGGCGGGTGGGATACTTCGAAGTGTGTTGGTCCTCTCCTCCCTCCCCGCTGCCCCCACCTCCTCAGCCTCGCGTTGGGGTCGGGCTCTATCAGAATTAGAGACCACCAAGCTGGCCACTGAGATGTTTTGGGCGCGAGGGGCGGATGCCAGGCTGTGCGGAGGAAGTGGCCTTCAGACCGTGTCTGCTCCAGGTTTCCGTCGGGCCTGCAGCCGGCCGACCAGAGAGGCCCGGGGCCCGGGCGGCAGCAAGAGGGGGTGGCTGTGGGGTGGGGTGGGAGAGGGGGCTGGGAAGTGGAAGTGGAAGTGGGAACTTGCTGTCCCCGCGCTCTCCTTCCCAGTTCGCGGCCGCCTCTCCCTCGTTTCCTTCCTGGGACCAGGGCGGGTTACGAGGGGAGGAGGGGGGGCCATAGACGTCAGCCCCGCCCCCTGCCCCCCCCCCCCGCAGGATCTGACCACGCAGCTGTCGCGGACCGGGACTCTCTCGCGCAAGAGCATCAAGGCGCCTGTCGCACCGGCCTCCGCCACCCTGGGGTGAGGCCTCGCGCTCCTGCAACTCGCCTCCCCCACCCTCAACGCAGAGAAGCCAAACTTCCTCCTGCCCGCACCTGACCCTTGCTCGCCGAAGCCTTCCTTCCCCCCACTGACGACACCCTCCCCCCCAGGAGGCCACCCCGGATCCCCGAGCCGGTGCATCTCCCCGTGGTGCCCGAGGGCAAACTCTCCGCCGCCTCATCGGTCTCTTCCCTGGCCTCTGCAGGGTGAGCCCCACGAGTCCAAGTGGGAGGTTGAGGGGGCCTCCCGCCAGTTGTCAGGGTGACCACTAGGGTCGGGAGGACGCTCATCACAGGCCCGGGGCGCACGACTGAAGGGGAGGGACGGGGTGGGGGGGATGCTGAGTTAGGGAAGGTGTCCCCCAACCTAGCCGAGCCCCGCTTTCTCTGGTCTTCAGCAGCGCCGAAGGTGTCGGTGGGGTCTCCACGACCAAGGGGCAGGCAGCACCCCCACCCCCACCTCTCCCCAGCCCCACGGCCCCACCCCCTCCACCCGCCTCCGAGGTCTTCCTGCCGCCCCCTCTGCCGGAGGAAGTGTCCCTGCCCCTGCCGGGTAAGGAGCTCCGCCCTCTCCTGGCTCAACGGCGGGGTCTCTTCTCACCTCCCCACCCTCTCCCTCCGATGGGCCCGCCTCAGGGAACGCCTCGTCCGGGTAGAGGGTAACGGAGAGGAAGGGGCCCGAGAAAGTGAGCTAACAACTCAAGTTAGCGCCTGCTTTATCCCAGGCTGTGTTCAAGCTTCTCATCCATTTTCCGCACTTAAACTTTTAACAACCCTAAGGGGGTCTTCACACTCTGATTTGACAGATGGAAGTTGAGGCTGACAGGTTCAATTAAGTGACTTGCCCGAGGGTCACCCAGCCAAGTGGCAGAGCCTCACTACCCTACACTGCTCAACATTTGTTTGCTGAGAACTGCGTTCTAGAAGCCTCGTGGTGGAGGCCATGATGGGCTGGGGCTGGAGAAAGATTACAGAAAACGGGTAGATGCCGGAGCCCCCACTTTGAACTGCGAAGTTTCCTGGGGGCCATTGGCGGGGGTCCGCTGTGCCACATTGCAGGCTTTCTCTTTCCCTCCCAGCACCAGAGTTGCCTCCACCCCTGGACCTGCCCCCTCCTCCGCCCCTGGATCTAGATGAATTGGGGCTGCCGCCTCTGCCCCCACCAGACTTTGGGCCTGAAGAGCCTAGCTGGGTCCCTGCTGCGTACCTGGAGAAAGGTACCTGACTCCTGGGACTAGGGATCCCTCTCCCCCCCCCACCCCGGGTTCTACTCTAGACTCTGCAAAAGTATGAGCCTGTTACACCCACCCACACACCCCTCCCTATTTTCTGATGAACTGACCAAACGTTCATCCAGGAGTGAGGATCCAAGCGGGAAAGACAGCAGCTGGCCTGGCACTGAATATTATTAAACCCAGCTGGGGAGGGGGGTCCCAAGAGCTTCGGAGCCTCACTCCCTGCAGCCGTTCCCCTAGATGTTCCCTGACATCCCCATAGTAGGGTGGGAGGCACGTCTCATGGCTACCTCTCCTCCCGCCCTGCAGTGGTGACATTGTACCCATACACCCGCCAGAAGGACAACGAGCTCTCCTTCTCTGAGGGCACCATCATCTGCATCACACGCCGCTACTCAGATGGCTGGTGCGAGGGCGTCAGCTCCGAGGGCACTGGATTCTTCCCAGGGAACTATGTGGAGCCCAGCTGTTGACAGCCTGGGGCTCTCTGAGCTCCTGATCCAGGCACTGTCCCGAGCGAGGCCCTTGAGCTCCAGCACAAAGCCAGCTCCATGGTCAGCGCTGGACTAGGCCTGCCCACCTCTTGGTCTGTGAGCTGGGCCTGTCCCTTCCCCTCATTTTGGTGGGAAGGGGTCCTGGGGAGAGAGAGGATGTACCCAAAGGCCTGCTGTGGACAGGAGAGAACTGGAAGTCTAAGAGTTTGGTGATCTTGTCCACAGAGTACCCCCTACTCCACGCAGGTTGGGGTCTCCAGCTGCAAGTGCCAACTTCGAATAAAACTCTGATGACCTCCTGGTGATTGCCCTGCAGGGCTATGGGGCCCGAGAGAGAGAGAGAGAGAGAGAGAGAGAGAGAGAGAGAGAGAAAGGGAGTGAAAGGCTCCTGCTAATTACTGAGCCCCCTCTGCCTGCCCCAGCAGCCTCCTCTCCCCATCATTTCCGTCCTAAGTGCCCTCTATACTAGACCCCCGAGGCTCGCCACCGACTGACTGCATCCTGTTCTTTTGCCTGTTGCTTGCTGTGTTATGCTCGGTTTTGGTTCCTCAAGCTGGGCACTCTTCCCCGACGGGGCGGGGTGGGGACCAACTCCCCCATTTATGTGGGGCTGAGGGCAGGGATCGCCTCGCCCTCACCCTTCAGACATCGGCGCGAGAGATCTCAGTCAGCGCTTCCCCCCTTCACCTCCTTTATAGCTCTAAAACACCAAAGAGGGAGGAGGGGCTTGGCTTTCGCTGGCTCTGCTTTAAAACATCATGGCTTTCTGTTCCATACTAGAGGAGGGGGGGCGCAGAGAGCCCAGCCCGCGGGGCGACTTTGGTAAAGTCCCTGGTCTCTTGCTGCATAGACGAGGCTGGGGTGAGAGGAGACACCGTCGCGCGCTGCGAGGTCCCAGGCTGGATGGACCCCAGCCGGACAGCGTGCTACCTCGTTCCACCACCAGGAGGCGACTGTTTCCTCCGGCTTTCCGCCCGCCCCCCCCCCCCCCCCGCCCCCACTTTGGGGATGCTGATGGGGGTGGGCGGTGGGGTGGGGCGCGGGAAGGGAGGCAAGAAGAAAAAGGGTGTAGTGTGGAGACGCGGTAGGTGAAGCAAGACCTAGGCCTGAGGCTGTCGGTGGAGAGCCTCGTCTCTCTCCGCTGGGATTCCGGCGCGACCCGGAGGCTTTCGGGTCGGGAGTTCCCTTAACAGAAGAAAGGGGGATGGGAAGGTTCCGCAGCTCAAGGGAGCAGTTAAAGCAGCGGGAGATGTGCCTTTCTCCCCTGCCAGGGAACCCCTTCCTCCCAATTCGGAGGACAAGGATTTTGGAAACACCGCTGCCTTCCCGGGTATGCGCACCCCCTCGGTGGGGCCAGACTCCAGAATTAAACGCTGCAGTGCAAAAGGGGCAGGCAGCCGCGCTGCGTTAACTGCATAGATAGGGACGGCTCCGAACTCCCTCCCCCAGCCCCCGGGGGGACGAGCCCGGAATCCCCGAAATTCCCGGAGGGACATACCGAAGCCAAAGGGAAAAGGGAGTAATAAAACTAGGTTTGTCTTTCCCGCTCTCCCCCCACCCCACCCCCCTCCTCCGCCCGGGCGCCCCCTGCAGGCCGCCGTCCTCAGCACGTCTTCAGCACCTGTTGCAGATGGAGGCGCACGTCGGTGGCCGTTTCCCAGGGCACCACGCTGGCGCGGAAGGAGCTGGGCTCGGCCTTCTGCGCCTCCTGGATAAGGCGGTGCATGGGATAGCCGCGGCGCGGGAAGGCCACGTCGCCGCCCGCCAGCAGCCCCATGGGGCAGAAGTCGTTGGCGCCGTCGCCCACGTAGAAAAGGCGCTCGAAGTGCACGCCGTCGTGGGCCCGCTCGCGCAGGTAGTCGCTGAGCACCTTGTGCTTGCACATGTTGGCGGGGCAGCGCGCGCAGCTGTGCGTGTGGAAGGGCCGCAGCGCCAGCAGCCCCCGCGCGTCGGGCCCCGACGGGTTGCTGAGGATGCGGCGGAACAGGCCGTGGTGGCCCGCGGCGCGCAGCGCGCTCTCCACGCCGAAGGTGTTGGCATCCGAGATGAGGATCACCTCGAAGCAGGAGCCCTGCTTGGCCACGAACTGCAGCAGGTCGCTCATGCCGGGCGACAGGGGGATGGCCTCGTAGATGGCGCGCAGGTCCCGCGGCCGCACGCCCTGCTCGCCCAGGTACTGGAAGACGCGCTGCATGTACTCGTTGTAGAAGCCCTCGCGGTAGGTGGCCCGCAGGCTCTCGGGCAGCCGCTGGCCCGGCGCGGCGCGCACGATCGAGTCGTCGCTGTTTTCGTCCACGATCGTCTCGTCGAAGTCAAAGGTCAGGAGGAAGCGCGGCGCGCCCTGCGCGGCCATCCCGCCGTCCTGGGAGCAGGGGGGGGAGGAGCAGGAGGAGGAGGAGGGAGCAAGCGAGAGGGGGCGCGGCGGGGGCCGGCCCGGGAGATGCTGGTTAGCGGGCCATGGCCAGAGGCGCTGGCACATCCAAGACCTGAGGAGGACCCAAGGCAGGTTAAGCTGGGCAGAGGACCCAACGCCGCCGCCCCCACCCCAGCCTTCCCTGCCCAACCCCGTTGGCGGCTCTCAGTGAACTGTGCTCGGGTTTATTCTCAGAAGACCATCCTCCTCCTGAACCCAGAGGGGCTTCCTTGGCACCTGTTTCTGCTACTCTCCTCTGGGGCCACGGGGCTTAACAGGGTCAGCTTAACGGAGGGGAAACGCAGCTTCCAAGGGGACACCCCTTTGGGGGAGGTTTCTGGACTAGGCCGTTCTGGAGACTTCCAGCGACCCTTGTTGTTGGTGTGGACTGTTGGGGCTCTCCACCCCCTTCTTCCCTAACGATCGTAGGCCAGGGAAACCAGGCATTCACCCAACTGAAGCAGCCTCCTCATTCCCTTTTTGAGCCAAGCCCAGCCGATGGGACTGTGGCCAGTAGGCCAGGCTCCAGGGAACACTCGTTGGTATCATCCAAGGCATGTGGACTGTGAATGCCCGGTCCTCGGGCCTGGATCGTTACTAAGGGCTGGGCCTGGGCAGCTAAGTGCCTGGGCCTCCGCACTGGCCAGACAACTGGATTTTAGCTCTTGGAACAACCAGGTCGCTGGGTTGACCCAGGAAGGCTCTCTGGAAGCTGCTTCCAGCCAGATGGGGTCCCAGGATGGAACACTGCTTCTCCAGGGAGTTTTCGGGCCCTGTGCTGACAGCTCATAACTAATCACTTGCCAATTCCCTGGGAGGAACACGTCAGCGGGTGGGGTTTCTGCCAGAGTCCGAAGGCAGCGGGCAGCAGAAGCAGTGGGGCTTGGGGAGGTAGGAGCTTCCCGCGCCAGGCCACGACATACCTGGGAGACAGGTGAGGGAGAGGAAAGAGAGCGGCAGTGGCTGAAAAGGCAGAGGTGGAGGGAGCAGGGAGGGGCCACAGGGTGGGGAAGGAGAGGCTAGGAGGAGGTCGTGCCAGGGGCGCCTGCGGACAGACTGCACAGGGGGACAGGCTGGGGACGGGGCGCTCCAGGAAGTGGAGACCTCGGGCCAGAGTCCCACCCACAGAGGACGTGGGAGAGGATGGGGGACGGGAGCGCCAGTGTGAGGCACAAAGAAAGGCAAAAGCGAGTGGAGGCCACAGAAGCCCTCTGCAGCCTGTCCCGCCACCTTTGCCTCTGCCGGCTGCCACACACGGTGGGCGGGCGGAGAGCAAACCACGTCCAGCTTCAGAATACCCACCACGCTGCCTTTCTCCCTCCTGGCCTCCCACCTCAGTCAGTCCAGACGGAACCACTCCTCCTTCTGGCTTCTTCCTAACTCGCTCTCTGATATTCCTGTGATGTTTGTGGCCTGGCCCACCTTGTGAAACGGAAGTCCAAGCTCCGAATTTCAGAGCTGGGGTGTGGACCTAGCTCTCTGCCTCCCTAATAGCTCTGTCCCTTCGAGCTCATCCCTAGAGTCACCCTCTGGTCTCATCGACATCCATCTGGGAGTCTCAGTGGCCCAGGATCGCTGGAGTATGTAAAGCAGCAGGACCCCACACCTGGGATGGAAGCTTCCAGGGATTAGTGGAGGCCCAGTAGAGATGAGGGTAGGCCTAAAGGGGGCTGGATAGGGCTCCTTCCACCCCATGATGGGAAGGAGGTTGAGGCCTCATCCTAAGAGACCCCTGGAGGGACCCACTTACCCTAGACAGGCATCGGAGGCCAGCAACTGGAAAACACCCGCTCATTGTCAGTGCATCACCCTGGGTACCACCTGTAGGGACTCTGTCGGCCTCCAGCCGTCGTCCAGAGCTCCTGACAACCATACAAGTTCTGTTGGAGAGCGCCAGCAGCCAGCTTTGTTTCCACTACTAATGCGCACCTGACTCTATCTCCTTGGCTGAGCCCCGGGAACCACTCCCAGGGGCTCAGTGAAAACCCCTCAAATAGGCACAGCGCTCACAGATGGCAAAGCCCTTGCTAGGTATCCTCCTACCCACCCCCTGGGACATTCGAGAGGTTATAGGTGATATTAATTGGAGATCCAGAATCGTTAGCCGATTTACTCAAAGGTAAGTGGCAAAGACAGATCTCAAAACCAGAATTTAGGGTCTGAGACCAGCGGTTTTTTTCTCCAGTATGATCCTGGCCCCTTTCTTGTGTCATGGTTTACACAACACCGGCACCGGTGTTCTCCCACTGCTCATCGCAGTCCCATGAATTCAGCAGTAAGGGCCCAGAGAGGTTAACTTGCCGGAGGCTGTGCTGTGTCCCCCAGGGAGCCTGGTTCATGAACACCTGGCCACAGCCTTGTATGCTCTCTGCCCTTAAAAGGGAAGGGGCAGATGACCGGGCTCATTGTACCACAGCTGGGGGCCGGGACCCCTGAGCATCACAGATGATCTGGGACTGGCCTCCCTGGTGCTTTCAGAGGCTGGCAATCGGCTGGAAGTCAGTTTGAAATTTCTGCGGGGGCTTTGCTGTGTGGCTTTGGGGACAGGGGCTGGCTTCGCGGGGGCTTCACCAACTCAGCTACAGAGGACGACACCACCTACAGCTCCCAGTGCCTCCCCATGCCCCATCCCTCCCCCTCGCCTTGCAGTTGAATGAGAGACTAGAAGCAGCTGGGACAGATCTGGAAAGCTACTGAGCACCAGGGGACTAGACCGGGAAAGGAGCAAAGTCCTGGCTGGTTGCTGCCCTCTGGTGGTGACAGCGGATGACACTGGAAACCCCTGACTTTGTCAAGGTGACATGCTCCCCAGACCATCCCAGACCCTCAGGGAGAAGCTGAGGGCCCCCGAGACAGAGATTGGGACCTCCCAGGAACAGGGCATGGGTCAGAGGGAGGGCCCCTATCACCTGGAGCTACCCCACCCCTCGCCACGCCCTAACCAGATGTGCATTAAGCCCTTTTGATATGGATGGAGGTGGGTCTCAGCCTTTCCACTGAAGAACTTTTTTTTTTTTTTTTTGAGGAACTTTTAATCTAGGAATTGGGAAAGGCAGCCAAAGCTGAATGGGGCAGGGGGCAGAAAAAGGTGGGGGCTAGGGGAGGGGTGAAGGAGAAGATGGGAGAGAAGACAGGGGGACACTGGAATAGCATGTTTTTGGAGGATGGAAGGGCTCTTCCCAGGCCCTATCTGGAGGAGTTCCAAACTTCCAGGATCCTGCCTGATATCCCATGTCTGCCCCCAGGCCTAGCGAGTTTGAGAAAGGTCAGGGGATGCCACTTCTGCGATAAAAGCAAACAGCCCCACGGCACACACAGACAGACACGTGCGGGGCTCGGGGAGAAGAGAGCCGGACATAGAAAGACACAGAGGCTCTTCAAGCAGCCACCCAGAGACCAACTTTCATCCCATAGAAAAGGGTCTCCTGGTTTTGCCCTTGTTTCTTTTTCCTTTTAAAAATTTGGTGGAATGGTCCACTGATTTTCAATCATGTACAAAACTTCTCGTTCATTAGAGCAAAAGACATGGTATATTTTTTCATCTAATAATACTATTTAGGGAAATCGGTTCCACATTTGTTGTTTAGTGAGTTGCCCTTGTTTTTTTAGTCCCCAGAGCAGAAAGCCAGGCATCCTGAGTTTATTCCCCCAGAAAGAGAAGTCTGTGCTGCCACCCCACCCATACCCCCACAGTAGTCAGTGGCACCCCAGGCCCCTCTGGCATCTGCTTCTCATGACGTTCAGAAAGGTTACTCACCTCTGGCAGCTTTGTCCTAAGTGACCAAATCCTTTTGTGGTCACCAAAAAGAGTCCCTCAGAGAAAAGGGGGACAGGATCTAGGAGCTTCTCCAGATGGCTAGAGCAGAGAGAGGAAAGAGGGGTTTCTTTGGGGTGGCCGGGAGTCCATATTCTAGTCCCACCTAAAAGTGGTGCTCGCCTCCCTGATTCCACATCAGATCACTGGATTCCTCGTTTCCTCCTGCCTTTGACAAAAATGCTTTCAGATGATATTTGTGGGAATGGGGATGGGGGAGGGAGAAACAGCTTGAAATCCCCCCCCCCTTAATGAGGGGACTGGGAGCCCACAGGACAGTTCGGGGACATTTTTCCCCAGGAAAATGTGGAGGATAGGGATGGAAATAGGGATGGAAGTGGGGATCGAGGGCCCCGCAGATACCACAGTTACAAGCCTCCCGCCCAAGCCCAGGTGGTCTTCTATCAATCACTTAGGAATTGGATCCCACAACTAAGCTGACGTTTTCTCCCTCCCCAAGACTGTATTTCCAGCTTCACCATGGTCTCTTCCTTCTCACCACCACCACCAGCAAATAGGAAAAACGGAGGCCCAGAGAGGTCAAGCTAGCATCCCTGGGGGCGGGGCGGGGGGGGGGTGTCACACAACATCAGATGCAGGATCAGAACTCAGGAGTTCCTGGTGCCTCTCGGCAAAGTTGCAGCCAGAGCTCCCCCTATTGCCCTGGAGACCCCCTTGGGCTGTGAGTAAGCTGTCCCTGAGGACCTGGAGCCCTGGTGTCAGTGAAGAAGCTGGGACCAGGAGTCCCCTCTGGGCTCGCCCTGCCTGGGTGGACAAGCTGGAAGGGGATCCTCAGTGGACAGGGAGGTGGCAGCTGCCGGTGGGGTGGGGGGAGAGGTATTTTTAGAGGTGGCTGGAAAGCAGGCATTCTGGCACACCCCCAGCTGGCGGGTGCTTCGCTCCAATGCGGGGCAAGGGGGTGCGCAGCTCGGGGAGCCCAGGGGACTGGTGGGTGGCGGGGAGCAAGGGGGCACAGATTCCTTCGCTTTGCCCGAGTCGGGGACAGAGGACTCTCCGAGCACCACGTTCCTGGGGTAGGAGAAAGAAGGAGGACTCATTTCTCCGCTCCAGGGACTCCCCCACTGACACACGTGAAGGAGTGCCCTCAAACTCCACGCAGCCCCCACCCCACACTGGGACCCCCGCCCTCCCCTACCTAGGGAAGCCCAGGACTCACGTGGGGAGCGGCGGCGGTAGAGGTCTGTCCCGGCTTAGTTTGGAGTGTGAAGAATGGGGGAGAGGGGCTAGCTGAGGTATCTGGGCGCAGGATGGGGCAAGGGGTGCTTACGGGAATTGGAGGGGACGCGGTGTCTTATCCACCCCCGGATTTCTGGGCTCCGGCTCACGAGTCCCTCCAGTCCCGAGGGGCCGTGGATGATGCGCGTCTGGGCCGCCCCCTCCACCTGCCCCCCATCCCCCGGCCAGCCGCCGCGTCCCCTTTAAATGCCCGGGAGCCGGAGCCCGAGCCGCGGCTGGCGCTGCGGCTGCCGCAGCACCCGGACCCACCGCAGTCCCCACACGTCACAAGCGACTGTCCAATCACAGCGGCGCCGGCGCACATCAAAGGGGCGGGCCGCCTGCGGGCCACGCCTCCCGGCTGCCCCGCAGGCTCCCCGAGAGCGAGCGAAGGTGGGGTTGCGCGCAGGGAGAAAGGAAAGAGGGAGCGCATCCCTGCGGAGGAGCGTGGGTGGGGGGTACCCTCGCTGGAGCGGCTGCGGGGCTCTGCGTGAGTCCCCGCTCGCACACCCAGAAGTGGCAGGGCTGTGACTCCAGGGCTCTGAGCCCTGAGATTTGCAGAAATGCACCCCTACCGCCAGCCCCCATGCCCTTCTTCGCTCCTAAGCCCCCCGGTAGGTACCGTTGGACCCAGCCCAGGAAAAGCAGTTCCTCCCCCACGTGCGCCTAGCTCTGCCCTCCGCGCGGAGTCGCGGCACCTCGCCTCTTGGGGTCCTTCCTCGGTTAAGGTTACAGGGGATTGCCGGGGAAGGGGCTCTCCCACTCCCCTACCCCGTGAACACTGATTTAAGGACCCAACTGTTTGCCCTTTGCAAGTGGTGTTGTAAATAAAAAACCCACTTTCTCTTCTGTTTCGTGAGAGTTGGTGCCTAGCCACACTCCCCTGCCTCCCCCTTCCCCCCAACCCAAACCCTCCCCCCAGCTCCCTCTGCCCTCCAGCCTGATGGCTGAGGAGAAGCTTGTGTTTCAGCAGCAGAGAGCCAAAACTTATATATACTGAGAACGTACTATGAACAGGGCACTGTACTAGGTTGCTGCACTTAACAGTTGCATAATCACAACAGGAGAAATTATTTGCCTGAGTTCAAACCTAGGCACACCTGGCCCATGGGGTCACAAAGGAGCTGTGTGGATGCAGAGCCTAGGCGCCCCCAGGCCGGGGTCTAAGTCTCCCCCTGCTCCCCTCCTCCAAGAGAGCCGGCAGGTGGAAAGGCCCTGTGTGATCTGGCAGCCCGCGGTGCTGGAAACCGGCGAGGGAAGGAGGGTGAGCAAGGAATTACCCTGTGCTGGGGGCTACTGTGAACAGGACAAGTGTGTGCCGTCTTTCCACATGTACAAAGGAGAACGAACGCATTACAGCTGCTTAAAACCCTTGACCGTAACTTCCAGCTCCCCAGCTCCTTCACTGCCTTGCTGCTCACGCCCCTGTCCTCACTGCCCACCCTCTCTTCCCGCCCTACAGCACCTCTGATGTTTCCTGGGGACTTCCCTCCTCAGGAACACACCTGCCCCATTTGCTGGGTGAGCTCGGTCTCTGTCACACATCCTGAAGCTCCTTCTATCACACCGATCACTTGTGTGCCACCACAACATGTGGGAAATGCTGTCAGTACACTTCGGTGGGTCAGCTCACATAATCCTCACCATTCTCTGAAATGCTGCGTGGCTCCTTCTGCTGTTGGGAAATCGGGGCACAAAGAGTTGAGCTTGCCCAGGGTCATCCAGCAGGTGAATGGTAGAGCTGGGCTTCCAGCCTGGGTGCCTTTTTGTTTTTAAGGTTTTTTTGTTTGTTTGTTTGTTTTTTAATTTGTCAGAGAGAGAGAGAGCACAAGCAGGGGGAGCGGCAGGCAGAGGGAGAGGGAGAAGGAGGCTCCCCGCTGAGCAGGGAGCCTGATGCGGGGCTCTATCCCAGGACCCCAGGATCATGACCTGAGCTTAACCGACTGAGCCACCCACGTGTCCCCCAGCCTGGTTGCCTTAACCTTTACCCCACACCGTGCCCCTCCTTCAGCATCTGCCACCCCTGTCAACAACAGGAGGGCAGAGACCACGTTTGCCTTATGCGGTAGTGTTCCGTCCACCCCAGCACGGAGATTGCGGCACCCAGTAGGCCTTAGATGTTTGTTGTTGAATGAAACACGTCGCCTGCTGTGTTCAGCTCGACCTAGCACTCCGTTTGTGTCTCCTCATTTTATCTTCTCACTAACTGGTCACTGCAGGATTATCCCCATTTTCCAACAGGGAAATTGAGGCTCAGAGAGATCAAATGAGTTGCCCAGGGTCACATGCCGCCAAGGAGGCACTAGATGCAGATCCGGATCCTGACGATGAACACCCTTTCCGATGAACACCCTTTCCGACGAACACCCTTTCCGCCGGTTTCCAACGATGGGGCTGAGGGTGGGGCGGGCGGTAACTTTCTGTGGCGGCCTGAGCCAGTTCTTACTGCCCACCTCTGCCTTCCAGGCTTGCTGATATCAGAGCCACGGGGGCTCTGTGCAAAGCACCTCTATGGAATAAATCTAGAAACTCCCAGTTCCCCCTACGCTAAACTTTTCACGGCACAATCCTACCTCTCATTGTGCCAATGAACACAGTTGGGCAGTTGGACGATCAGCCATGTGTCTAAAGAGGGGGACAGAAAGGGGAGGGGAGTCCTACCTCCCACCTCACCCCATCCCGGGCCCCAGCAGGGTGAGGCCTCTGCCCAGCACTCAGCTGCAGAACTTCCTCTCTTCCTGTGGGGTTCACCTTAGAATTCCCGTCAGTCAGTCAGTCTGGCAGAGAGCTTGTGGGGCTGGGGTCATCTGAGGCGACAGACACAGGAGTTTCTGGGGAAGCCTGATTCAGGTGGCCAGGGATGGGGCTCTCCGGTTGGCCTTGACGAAGAGGGTGTGACTCTCGCCTAAGGTTTTGGCACCGTAGGCGAGAGTCACCTCTTTGGCGTTAGAGCCCGGGAGGCCAGGAATCGGGACTCTGGCTCTGCGACAGGCCTGGTGGGGGAGGGGCAGTGGCGGAAGGGGAGGGGCAGATCGCCTGGTTCCTCTGAACACTCCAGCTCCGGGAAGGACGATTTTGTGCCAGGCACATAATCCCCACAACAACCCTGGCCGATGAGTTTTAGTATTCTTCCTTTTACAAATGAAAAAGCAGAAGCTTGGGGACATTAAGAAAGTGCCTTGCCCAAGGACGCTGTGCAGCAAGTGGCGGTCAGCTCCGATGTTGAGGTCTGCACTTCTCTGTCTGGAGGAGGCTGAGGGCCTTCAGTGACCTGGCGACCTATGCAGGTGGGCTTAGTGCCGGAGGCCACCGGGAGGACCCCGTTCGTTCGGGCAGTTCTGCGGGTTCTGCCGGAGGTGCTCTGGGCCTAAGGCATTGTGCTGGGGCGTCGGGATTTTTCAGGTCTCTCATCCCCTTCCTAGATGACAGTCACTGGCATTGACAGAGCGCTTACTCTGTGCCAAGCAGCGTTCTAAAGGCTCAGCTTTCTTCATTCTCACATCAACCCTAGGATCTATTTGTTCCTCCACCTTACAGATGAGAAAGATGAGGCATAGAGTGGTATGTAATCTGTCCAAGGTCCCAGAACTGGGAAGTGGCAGAAGCAGGATTTGCACGAGTTTTGAGCTGCCCTTCTGTGGATGGGAATGGGCCACGTCACCCCCACGCCGGTGCTCGGGAGAATCTGGCAATAACATAGAGGGAGGTTCAGATCTTCAGAGCTGTGCTCCACCGGTGGCTGTGGACAGTCTGCCGCTCTCTGGTCCTCCCTACAATACAGTACTCATTTGTGCATTTCTTCACTGGACAACTGTTAACTGTGTCAGGCACTGGGGGATAAGACATTGAAGAAGACCCAGACCCTGCCCTCGGGGCACTTACAGTCTAGAGAGGAGACAGAGATGAGCGAACAGCTTTTCCCAAACGAGTGTCAGACAACCGGCAGATCTGTTCTGCCCGGGACCATTCTGTCTTGGACTTCAGCAGGTAAAGCAGCTGGGACCTGAGGTGCCCCCGGGCTAAGGAGGAGACTATAATCCGGGGGTCGGGTCCACCCCCCAGAGATGCCCCCATCCTGACCACTCTCCTTCCCTGTCTCACCTCAGCTCCTCCTCTTGCCTGCTGCTGGGTTCCCCTCCCTTCTTTCTCCACATCCCCTGAGCAGCCTGGAGACACTTGAGAGCAACCTTCTCCCCACCCTGGCAACTTTCCCTCCCTGCCTTCCCCAAGCCAGCCCCTCTCCCACAACAGACTCACCCCGACAGAGCTGTCCCCCCTCGGTAAGCAGCAAGGATGGAGAGTCATGTGGCAGAGGGAACTGGGTAAAGAGGTGAATGTGCAGACGTCCTTTCTGCTACCTGGCAGACACCCTCAGCAGGTGGTTGAGAAAGTCACCCCCTCCCCCACCCCAGGGTCCCAGGTGGGCCAGGAAGTCCTTACAGTCTGACTCAAATCCCACTTGCTGGGATATTTCCTCTCATTTGGCTTCTAAGGCACCCTCCTGTGTAATGGCTTTCAGAGTCTTGAAATCTGCCACTCCATTTCCTCCGTTTTTCGCAAATGTCACATTAAAGAGAACAAGGTGATTTCGTCTCTGCCTGCCTTGTGTCCCTGGTTACTTCTTGCAGCCCTCTCCTACTCACTCTGTGTAACAGCCTTGTTTCAGCCTTTCAAATGTGCTACCACGGGCCCTTTGCACTTGCCATGGCCTCTTTCCAGCATACTTCCCACCGCATCCATCCCACTGAGTTCGGGGCTCAGCTCATCTGTCACTTCTAAAAGGAAACTAGCCCTGCCCAGACACCCTCCCTCTCATGACACACCTCCACAGCACCCTGGGCTCCTCCTGGCTGATCGATTAATATCTATTTCCCTCAGACTGTCAGCTCCGCGACAATAAGGACCAGAGTGGGTTTGCTCCCATGGTGTCCCCAGCACCTACTGCAGGCCTTGATCCGAAGTAGTTGCTCAAAAAATATTTGTTATGAATGACTGCAAGACTCTCAATCTCAGCTACTTGTGTGGGGTGTGGCCTTAGGCCGGGAATGACACCATAGCAAACTTCCTGGCTTAACCTGGGCTGTCTCACT